TATATATATATCCTCTAGTTTAAATTTTTAGAAATTCTGTCATTTAAAATGTAACTAATATCCTTGTTAGATAAATAAATATCCTTTCATCATCTCTATTTACTCAAATAAGCCACTCTGAGGACACAAGAAGATTTTCAACCAGTCTTTACTTGCGAGGGTTGGCGGTCACGATAAGGTTTTCACAGATGTACCGTATTTTTCGGACTATAAGGAGCATTTAAAATCTGAATTTTCTCAAAAATCGACATTCAGTCTTATAATCAGGTGCACCTTATGTTTTAATCCTGGTTGTGCTTACTGACCTTGAACTGCTCTTACGTGGTTATTGTGAATGTGTTGAATAAAATTTGACATATCTGACTGTTTTGTTTCGCTTAGTACGCCTTATAATCCGGCGCACCTTATGGTCCGAAAAATATGGTATGAAAAGTACAAGCCTCGTCACTGAGAATCTGCGCCAGACAGTGAGGCAGGAAGTGCTTTATATTACACAATTATCAAACAGAAGCGAGGTCAAGACGACCTCGGCTAGACGAGGAGAAGGCCTCATAGTTATCATGTGCGCCTGCAGGCTCCTCTCTGAGGAGACAAAAGACTCTCTGACCTCGCACACATGGTTCAACATTAATTTAACATTAATTACTGATAAACATCCATCACTTTTACCTAAAGTCCCCTGACAATCCTGTTTTGTTTAAGCCATTATCAGGTGTAAAAATATAGAGTAGACATATTTTTATCGTTGTGTTGCTTGAATTCTTTTTTATCTTCTAATTGTTAAAGAAACTGGAAGCCGCTGCCGAAGTTTTGAAAGGAATGTTTTCACATTTAATGCAGAAGTGAAGAAGCAGTTGTGATGGAGGATTTTAGTTTACGGTGTCAGGGGTGTTTCAATAAAGGTTTATGGATGTTTATCACTGCTAATGTTAAATTAATGTTGAACCATGTGTGTGAGATCAGAGAGTTGTTTTCCTCTCAGAGAGGAGCCTGCAGAAATCCAACGCCTCCGAGTCTGTGTGCTGAGAGGCCGAGGTCATCGTGCTGATCAAAACGCTTCTTGTATACTGTCTGGCGCAGATCCTTACGACCGGACTTCAGTGAAACGTGTGCAAGCCTGTGGCAGCTGTCGTTGCAAGTAAACTCAGTATCAAAATCTTCTGTCATCGTGTGTGGCTCCTTTTAAGTAAGTAAAATAATGAGAGGATATTTTTATCCAACATAAGGCATCTTTTATAAGTGTGGTTCAAGTGACTGCATTGGCCTTTACTTCAGGCAAACCAGCGTAACTGAACATTTTTTAACACTTTGTTATAATGTTTGAATACTTTTTGGCATTATCTTGCAAAATGAATCGTCTCATAAGCTGCTCCAAAAACTACGTATACTGCTCACCATTACCTGTGCTTAATAAACACGTAAATAAGATTCAACTTTTATTTTAGTTTTTGATTTAAAAAAATCGAAGGAGGGAAATTTCTGGTCCGTGAACTGAAATTCTGTGTATTAATGCTAGTATTCTATCATCATGGAGTCCATGTTCTGCTTAGTACACGTGTCCTGACTGATTAGCTTTAGTGGCTTTTTTAGTAACGGATCGTTTTCTGCAACTTTCAACCTCCGTTCCGTGAGTTGAATAGTGAGCCGTGACAACAACGCTGCAGTCCTGCACTGAATGAGCAGAACAGAAATAGCTAAAACACCGTGGGATGAATCTAGTTCTTATTTTCCAAACTTGGCAACCGTCAAGTTCAAACTGTAATTTTGCTCCAGCAGAACCTGCATTTTTAATGAGTACAAGCAGCAACATGCTGCGTATTGATCATCATTAATAGTAACAGGCTGTTAATTAGGTGGAATGAGTCTGTATAAAAACCGTTACGTACCTATGAGAGGGACAGAGTCGGATGTGGCGGGCATGATTTCTGCCACCAGCAGCATGAAAACGGTGAGCGACAGCAGCACGGTGATACCTGCAGGCAGACAGACAGATAGTTCCTAATGCTTTAGCTACATTTAGTTAAGCAATCAATAATGTGGTTTGGTCGCCTCCCTGGAGTCGTTTTTGCCTCTTTGTGAGGAACTCCACCGCTTCGTTTTGATAAATGGTCAGGCCCATGATGAGATCGGGTTCGATTTATGGAAATGACCAGCTAATGCTAAAACGCCGAGTTACCTCAAGCTATTTTGTTCTTCTGCAGCCTAAAGGCTCTCACGCACAGCAAACAGCCTCTCCCTTAAACTGTTCAGGCTCTGACTGTAAAAACCGCACACCTCGTATACTGTCCAGCTGTGAAACTCATCTGGGTTGAAGCAGAATTTAACAAGTGGCTCGCTGGCTTAACTGCCCTCGGTTTGAACATTCAATTAAACTCCTGATCTGGGGGATAAAATATGATTAGCTTGATGATGTTAGGTCGATTAAAAATCCTTCATTATGTTTCCACTTTTAAAGCTCAGCCACTTTGTCCCAGCGTCTCCTCCATCACCTGGAAATGGCAGCAGAGTATTTTCCTGGAAGGCAGTGTGTAAGCTCTCCTACGTAATCAATTCACTAGCTTTAATTACATCAATAGGTTAATTGACCGCATGTGTAAGGCTTCCCTCCCCTCCCTCGTTGGTAAAAAGCTGCACAATGCTCCTTTCACTGAGCTTTGACAATGCCATTAAGGCTCGACGCCCACTCAGAGATGAGTCAAACAGGATTTTTAAACAAAATCATAATTACTGTGTCGCTCTAAATTACAGGGTTTATTCGGCGCCGCAAAGATAATGAAATGTTTAGCGAACACGAGGCTGCTGACGATTCTTTTAGCTTGAATTCTTGAAGCTTTCAGTTAAAATGTACATTTTCGTTTCACAGAACCCAAGACGACATTTCCCAAGTAGCTTTTTATGTCTTGTAAAAATGTTCTGAAACTCAAAAGTAGTCAATTAGCGGGAATCAGGCCGCAGAGGAAAATAAATTCTCACCCTGGAAGAATCGAGGGCAAATTCTGTTTCATATTTTTGTTCTTAAATGACTGAAAGTGTTTGAGTTCAGAACAGAATGTCTTGTATTAGTTGACTTGTTATTTCAGTGCTGCAAAGTTGAGATAAAAGAGTCTGGAGTGTTTATTGTTCTGACGACATCATTGATTTTAAAACGGGGTGAGACTATTAAAACTTTACTTCCTGTCTCTTTCACCCAGTTATGGTGTCGTTTGGCTGTCTCCCTTTTCTTCCGTCTTCTCTTTCTCTGCTCTGCCCTCCTCTCTCATCTTCTCCTAAACCCTCGCCCGTCTTTTTTCCATCTTCCCACACTCATTGCGCTCTTCTCCTCCACTACGGTTTTCTCGTGTGCCCATTTAGTTATCCGGTAATCCCTCTCCTCTCTCTGCTCCCCCTCCCACTTCGCCTCTTTGTGCCTCCTGATAATCTCCTGTGCCATTCGTGTACCCCCGTTCTGCAGTGGTCTACTTTTAGTTCGTCTGTATTCACACACGTTCAGTCCAAGAGCGTTATGTCATACATTTTAAGTTTATGGGATCTTGCTTGCTTTTTTTTTTTTTAAGTCTAAAACCTGCACTGCATACATTTATCCTTTCTGTTTGATGTCTTGTTTGGTACCCTTCTTTTTCTGGGTCAGGAACTTTAAACAATCAATCTGGTAGACTTAGAGCCATCAGAAGAAAAAAAACTAATTTTTAATAGACAGGATTTCTGCACTGATTAACCACTGAAATGTAAACACAATTTTTTTTTTTTTTTTTCTAGTAAAGTTTTGAAAACTAGTGGATGTTGACTTTTCCAATAGAAAAATTGCTGCTCCTTATAAATGTTGACTCATCGCATCTACAAGGTTGGACAGTGAGAGCAATCCAGCACAACAGGACTTCTCAAAGTTGGGAAATTCATCGAAAGCATAACATCCATCCATCTTTTACCCTAATTTCCGCCGTACTTGTCGCTCCACCCTATAAGTTGCATCAGTCCAAATATGTTTTAAAAAGTGGAAAAATCCATAAATATGTTGCTTCCCCATATATATTGCATCTATTATGCGTCACCACTGACAACCCGGAAATGTGGACCGAACCTAGAAATGTGGGCCGGTGTGCCAAAAATCGATGGGCTGCCAAATGGCGGCAGCGGGAGCATGCACAGGAGGACTTTAACAAGAATTTAACAAGATTAACACTTAAAAACAATTATTTGTTTGCTCAAAATTATAGTAAAGGTGTGTCTCAGTCTATTTAATGCTTAATAAATACACTTTGACGGTCAAATCAGCTGTATTTCAAAACCCGATTTGCGTAAGCGTGCACGCGCAGATGTGCGAGCTGCTCCAAGCAGCGAGCAGAACGAAGGTGGGGGAATATGGCAAGCCAATTAGGTAATTAATAGCTTGTGAAGATTCACAGTCATCCAGGACATGGTCAATTCAAAAAAGTTCAAGACAAAAATAATAAAGTATAAAGTGAAGTATAGTAAATAAAATCCAATTGTTTTTGCATTGAACTTTTTTGAATTCGTCATTATAGCCACGTTTTACCTATTACGTGATACAACGGCATGCCTTACTGCTACTACTAATCTGCTGCCATCAAGTGGCTAAAAATGGTACTGTTCAATTTTTTTTGGTCAGAATGAATGAAAACTGTCAAATCTCCGCCAAAAATTGGTTTATAAATATGGGAAAAATTCCTAAATACGTCGCTTTGGCCTATAAGTCGCAGGGCGAGTAAATTATGCAAAAAAACACGACTTATAGGGTGAAAAATATACTTGCTTCTCCTTTTCAAATCTTGGGGAGCTGCTGCCTATCTCCAGTAGTCACTGTGCGAGAGGTGTGGTATGCAAGGGACAGGTTATAAGTCCATTACAGGGACACATGGGGACAAATGAGACAACCACTCACACCTAGGGACAATTTAGAGTTACCAGTTAACCTAATATGCTTGTTTGTGATTTATGGGAGGAAACCAGAGTACCTGGAGAAAACCCTTGAATCCCAAAATCCAGGAGGTGAACCTGCGACCTTCTAGCTGTGAGGTGACAGCTCTAAGCATCGCACCACCGTGCTCCCTGAAATAATAACAGTCTTTTTAATGATAACTCTTCTAACGGGAGAGTAGCTGACTACAATTTTCTGGGAGTCCATAATGAGGGAAATCTGATGACCTGGAGCGTGAACACCTCTGAGTAGCTGAAAAAGGCCCAGCAGAGACTGCACATCCTGAGAGTGCTCAGGAGGAACAACATCACTCGGAGACTGCTGGTGTCTTTCTACCAATTCTCCATAGAGAGCATCTTAACACACTGCATCAGTGTGTGGTATCTTATCTGCACAGTGGCTCACAGGAAAGTGCTCCAGAGAGTTAGCAACACAGCCCAGAAGATGGTGGGCTGTCTTCTTCTCTCACTGGAAGATCTACTGTACATAGGAAAAGCCCACATCTTAAAGGACACGTCTCACCCTGGACATGATCTGTTTGAACTGTTACCATCAGGGTAGAGTGTACATATCAATCAAGACAAGAACAGATTTAAAAATAGTTTTTATCCATCAGCCATTAATGAACTTAAGAAAAGCTGTATAAGAACTGAATAAGTGCAATAATATCATTCTGCTTGTGTTGCATGTTTGGAGCGTTTAAAATCTGTAACTATAACCTTTTATACAGTTTATATTTATTTATGTATTTTGCTTTGTTTTATATTACACTGTTTTTACTTTTGCTCCGGGAAGCAAACCCACATTTCATTGTAGGTGCCATGACGACAAAGATCTATTCTATTCTTTATAAATGTAGGACACTAATAAACTGTTTCTCCTGTCACCAGGAGTGACACCACCAAGAACAAATTGTGCATCCATGGAAACAGCAAAGCACCAGAAAACTCAACAGTTCACTAAAATACTTTAAATTTAGCTCCACGCTTAAAAAAAGAAGAAAAAAAAGTGATGGATAAAAAATGTTGGAAATGGAAGGACACTAAGAAGGTTCTCCAGAAAAAAAAAACATCCGTCATGTTTCTAGTCATTCCTAGAGTGAGAGTGAAAGGTTGTCTCATTTGTCTCTATGTGTCTCTGTGATGGACTGGAGACCTGTCCAGGGTGTCCCCCACCTCTCACACAGTGACTGCTGGACATGGGCACCAGCGACCCCTGCGACCCGAAAAAAGGAAGAAGCAGATAAAGATAAAAGGATGGACTGAGTCAAACTGAGTAATCTTTGGTAATTTACAAATATTTGACAAAAGAACGAGGAACAAGTTGTGTCTCTGACATTTTGCTGGTAACAATATGTCTAAAGAACCTATACAGTATAAATTTGGTTTGTTGTGTCGTAGTCTGCTGTGTGTCGACACAACACTGCTTCTCCCTGTGAGTTTAGAAGCCTTTTTATGTTCAAATGATTCAAAAGAATAGAGTTAAGAGGCTTAAAAACAGAAAACAAACTGGACTGAAAGTAAAAAAGCAGCCAAGTTCAAAGAAAAACTCTGGAAGAGCTTCAGCTCATACTTTCAAGAGAGCCTGGTTCCTCGGTCACAAGTTATCAAACGAAAGGGAAAACTTTAGTTTTACACAGTACTATGTATACTTTAAAGTGAACACTACTTAGCAGAATCTTTACTGCCAACTTCCTGACAATGGCTGGACAGTTTACTACAAACAATTAAACAGAAACATGATAAATGTGCATATGTCAGTGTCTCACTGTTGCTTCACAACAAGAATTAACAACACAAAAGACCTGAAGTTGACAAGAAAATCAGCTGCGTCTTGAAAGAAAAAGAGCCACTTAAATATCTCTTGACATTGGCCCAGTTTTAGGGTGTTAAATCGAGATGCACCAGGAACTTCGATGAAATGAAAGTTACTTTAATGAGCAGTTTGAACCAAAGATCCTCCTCATTAGGCTCCGCTCATCAACAGCAATAAAGAGCCTCTGGTGTGGGATGCCACCGCTCATCGCTTGTACCCTACATATTTAGAGATCTGGTTTCAGAAAGACATAAAATGACAACTGTTTGTACCCTTTTAGTGAAACTGTGCTGTAGTTATGTTTTAGATTAAGCTGATTTATTAAAAGTCAATTCAGTTCAGTTTATTTATATAGCGCCAAGCCACAACACAAGTCATCTCAGGGCACTGAACAGAAACATTCATATATATAAAAATAATTAAACATTATTTATCTGCAGAGCAGACTGCTTTGAATTTAACTCCATCACAGAACTCTCATCTTGAGCAAGCATGAAGGTGACAGTGGAAAGGAAAAACTCTCTCATGAGGAAGAAACCTTTAGCAGAACCAGATTCAGGACAAGCGGCCATCTGCTTCGACCAGCTGGGTTTGAGAGGAACAGATACACAATGGCAAGTCAGAAATCACATGTTAAGATAGAAATAATATCAAATAAAACTATTCAATTTTAGCAATTAATTTAAGGAAATGAGGTCAATTTGTCCTCCAGTAGTCTAAGCCTATAGCAGCATAACAAGCCAACCCTAACTATAGGATTTATCAAAAAGGAAAGTCTTAAGCCCAGTCTTAAAACTAAACAACGTGTCAGCCTCACAGACAGAATCTGGAAGTTGGTTCCACAAGAGAGGAGCCGACAACTGAAAGATCTTCCTCCCATTGTGCTTTTGAAAACTCTAGGAACCGCGAATAATCCTACAGTCTGAGAGCGAAGTGCAAAAGCAGAAAATTTAGGGTCATCCAGGTTTTTATGTCTGTAGGACATGCTTGTAGTCTAAGTAACTGATGGGATTCATTGGGTTTCATGGACAAATATAAGTGTGTATCATCAGCATAACAATTAAAATGTATCCCATGCTGTTTAATAACTTTACCTAATGGAAGCATTTGTAAAGTGAAGAGTATTGGTCCAAGCACTGAACCCTGAGGAACTCCATGAGTGAATTCAGTCTTATACGTAACACCGATTCTGATACTTTTCTGGTCACATTCTTTAAGACAAACCCAATATTTGGCATCAAACTTGACAAGTTCAAGCCTGTTCTGATGCACTCACCCAATGAGATCTTCTCTCCGGAGTCAGCTGGCAGCACAAAGATTAGTAGAGTCATGGACGACAGCAACACACACGGGATGAGCAGATTCAGAGCATAGTAGAGCGTCCGCCGCCGTATTGTTATAACAAAAGTCACGTCCGTGTAAGGCTCCTTACAGCAATCATAGAAGACGTCATTTCTGGTGCCAGGAACACCTGCAGGAACACAAAGACAGAATGACCTCCACTTTACCAAGGGATGTCTTTACTGGGGACACTAAAGCAAATGTTTTTGCAGACCAACCGATTAGATCCCACTCTCCGTTGGGCATATATCCCGAGATGTCTGCGTCAGTCATCTGAAGGTCAAGCAGCCAGCCGTCGTACGTCCAAGAGCCGAACTTTAACTCGCACTTCTGAATGTCAAAAGGAAACCAGCGAACATCCACATTGCACGTGCTCATGAAGATTCCTGCGAGAGAAAAGAAGATGTGAGGAGAGAGGGCAGGAAGTTACAGCCTGACGATCAATTGACAAGATGACTATATTGACCCCTGCAGTTTCCTGTGGAGACTGAAAACAGATGTAGTGGAGGACTGTGCAGTCTCTCTCATGAATATCAAGTAGCTTGTTAGCGCTTTCATTCAATCCGACAAGATTTTTACACTGAAATGATGTGAAACAACTCCAGAGCCCACTGCAGTGAAGTTTTTAACGATGTGTCAGCCCACAGAGCGTACTGCTGCAAAATTCAGTTTCGAGGCTGGAAAGAAAAGAAAGCAGAGACTGTATAATAAACAACCTCCCCATCAAAGACACGTCTATAAAGAAAAATCTGGCAGCAGTGTTGTCACTCTTCTCAGATTTTCTCCTCTCCGCTCTGGCTGCACACAGCTGTTCACTAAGCAGCAGAAGAAAACATCCACATCACTGAAAAATGAGATTACGGGCAGTGCCCTAATGAGATTGCCGCTGTTATCATGCTAAATAAATGTATGCATCGGCACGCCACACATGTGGAGAGTAATCCACCCCCTGATATGAAGAATCACAAGGATCTGTGTGTTGGTTGGCATCCAATAAACTAATCAAGCCTGTTAAAACATTCAGACACACACACGCAAAACATCAGCGAAGCCTCAAAGACGTTCATTCTCTAGGAGGTCAACGAAAGAGAATTATCAAGTATAAGAGCAGAAGTTCATCTAAAGTTAACTAAAAAAGTTCCAAAGAACCTAAAGAGCTGTAAAATTTGTGCATGCGCTGCCCTTCAAGTTTCAGTCACTTATATTCAATTTGTGCATTTGCTTCACAAGGGGAAAAAAAAATCATTATAATCACCCGCTGTCATAAGGCGGTACTGTTTTTGCCTGTGTCTGTCTGTAAACAAAATATCTCATGAATGGGTGGTATTTACATGGAATAATGCCGTTTAATAACTTTACCTAATGGAAACATATATAAAGAGTATTGGTCCAAGCACTGTACCCTGAGGGACTCCATGACTAACTTTGATAAGTATCCTGATGCATGCTCAATAATCCAGGTAGAAAAATCCAAAAAAGTTCAATCTGGTCCTCTGGGTAACTTTGATAAGATTTTAAGGGATTTTAAACAACTGTTACATTCATTGCAAAAATCAATGCGATGTTCCTGTTTTTAGTATTTTACATGGTTTTATAGCTTTTTGATTCATTTTTATATAATTTCTTTTATTTACTTTTAATTTTATATGCTTTAATATGAATGTTGTCTGTACATTTGTGTTCTGTGCTTAAAACAGGTCTCTCTTGTAAATGAGTCCCCGTGACTCAATGAGACTAACCTGTAAAAATAAAGGTTGAATGAATTTAAAAATATATATTATTTAATGCATTTCTACAAATTGCTATGTTTTGGAGTAAATCCATTTCAATAGCTGACCTAAGAAAACACCAAAATGTCTTTAACTCAGCCAGTTTTAGACACTGAGCTAAAACTTGTGTGGTAGTAGCTGAAAGTCATTCACAACACACAGTACAAGTACACTTTAAGTATGATCTTTGCCTAAAACTTCAGCATTGACAGATCAAAATATCGCAAGAACAGCTGAATAAATGTTAATGAAATTCGAAGAACGTAATCATTCAACCTATTAACTTTCAGTCATTTCAATTCAAAATGGCCACCACAGCTAACTGACATTAGCAAGCACAAAAATGGATGCAACTTGGTTAATTTTAAGGATATTGAGCTAAAATGTGACATGGTAGTAGCTGAGTCATTCACAACACTTATGAGCATGAAATTTCATGATATAGTATGAGACTATGTTTTTTATTTTATTACCAAAACAGCTTGAACTCTTGTCATTTCTCAACATAAGATGATCTTAGACTCAGCAGGACCGGTGGAGGGTGATATGCATTGCTTCGAGTGATGTTAGACTTTTAAATGACCGTGTTGCTGTAAACCAGAAGTGACACTGCTTTGTGTTTCTCATGTCCATGGATTAAAGTTCACCATCGCCACAACGGATTTACATCATTTTGTACGTGGCCAGGACAGATTTCCATCGTCTGTAAAAATGAGGGGGGATAAAATGTTTGTTGTGGTCTAGTTAAAACCATCCAATCTAATGAGGATACAGAGATTAAACTGGTGATGCTTTTACCCAATAAAGAGAACCAGAGCCACAGTTTGACCCAATCAGAGCAGAGCACCCCGACTTCCTCGGGACTTTTATGTCTAAAATCTAACTTTGTATTAAATGTTAATGTGTTCTGAGCGTCGTCACCGTATAGACGTGCAACTTGCGCATGAGACCGAACTCTTTGTCTGAGAGAGAGAGAGACGTGCATGAACCACCATGGGAGCGCGCAGCCTGTTGAGGCTGTTTCTGCTGCTTTAGTATTTCAAAAAATATTTATATTAATGCTAAAAGATTAATATTTATATGCCCCGGACTATAGCAGAGATGTGTCTCTACCTTTAATTTCCCCCAAAACTCACAAAGTTCTCTCTGAGAGTCCGTTTCAGGTGTTTGTAGTTTATCATACGTATCTGCTCAATTCAATTCTACGCTTGTTTTAACAACAACAAGATGTCGTGGCTGTTTGGATGAGCTAAACTTAATTATTATACTCTGATGATAAGATCAAATGTGAAAAATAAATGGTATTAAACAACTACATGAGCTGAAAATGTAAAACATGATCCCCTTATCGAAGTTACTGTTATTTTTACTCTTCAACCTCTAGGTTTAGAAAAAAAAATCAGTCAATTTTTTTTCTGCTTTAATCCATACATTTGTTACCTGTCGCTCCAAGATATTTAGAAACCTTTAGTCAAACAAAGCAGCGGAGATTTTTCTTCTTGTGTTGCTCAGAGCAATCCCAGTTTCAGAGCTCCTGAAATGAAACAACTCCTTCCGAAGCAGGCGTTACAAGAGCTCTAGACAAGATTACCTTGTTGTAAATGTCACCCAATTGAGATAAGAGCTAAAAAACCTTTTCTTCTGAACTGCCATTAATCCAGACAAAACAAGACCTCTGCAAACACGAGATCAGCAGACACCTGGGATGCACTTTATTTACTTCACGTCAATCTCGCGCTTCATTCCTGCCACTCAGACACACGAAGCCTTTTATAAGTTGTCAATAAGATCCCCGAACAATGGCAACCAGACCAGTTCTGTTTTATTTGTCTCCATTTCCCTCTTTTTATTGTTTTCAAATAAAGTCTAAACTCTCCTCCATCTCATTTTTTTTAACACCTGAGCTCTTATTTGCTTCTTTCTCTAACTACCTCTGATCTAGCTCGCAGCATAAAGGGACTGTAGATACATTCGGCTGCAACCTATCAATAAATCTGGCCTCTCAACAGAATTGAAAGTGTGGCTCTTGGAGCTCACAGCCCGTGTCTTTTACTGTAGTGGGTAATTTCAGCTCTAACCCCCCAGCTGCACAAGGGATTCAAGCTGAAGCTACTTTAATCTGGGGGAGCCTGAGAAAATACAAAGCAAAGACCCCTGAAAACCCAGAGGAGTCGTTACCTTCACAGCCTCGCAGCGGTCTTTTGGTCGAGGCAGGAAGGGGAGGATATTTATAGACGTTAGAGCAAACCAGAAATGCTGTTTTATTGATGAAATATTAATGTTTAGTGTGCAAACAGGGCAACATGCAGAGACTGCACAATGAGGTGGACCTCTGGGAAACGAAGTGAATGAAAGAAACAACATAAAGGATTACATTTTTTTAATATGATGCACAGAGGAGGGACTCACCTGGAGGCAGATACTTGGCAAAGCCGCTGGAGTTCACCAGAACGTTGGTCTTAAAGGTGGAGTCAAAGTCGTCATCTGCACTGAGAATGGACAGAGGGGGAGGAAGTGACATCACCTGCTGATGCGTGCAGACGTGTGCGAGGTCTGCGTTCAGGTGTGTTACCTGTTGTAGAGCAGGATGTCCGGCGTCCAGATCTGATCCGTTGTGAAGCGGAGGTTTTTCACCCCGGGGTGTTCGCTCTGGTTCCACTGGAGGTAGTGGTCGAACCAAGTCTTTAAATGCACACACACAGAAAACACACCGAGACCTGCAGATCACGTTGACTTCTATCACGTCAACAGAAGTTCATAATTTAAGATGGGTGAAGCTTTTGATTCGGTTCTTGCCTTTTTGTCACACGTAAATGTTTTGAATCGGCAAATAAATGTTATCAGACAGAGATAACCTGAATACAGTTTTTAAATGAGTTATTTTATTGAAGATAAACAGGCTTCAGCAGCTTGCCCCAAGTTAAAAAGTAATTGCCTCGCCTGTCAAATCATGAATGAACAGTGATTTAAAAAAATAATAATCTGATTCATGCCAGACCTGTAGAATCAAGACGTCACTTAACCAATTGTCAAAACATTGGAACAGTCGTGAACCATCCCACGAGTGACCAGCCGAACAAAATTACTTCACGAGCGCATCCACGACTCATCCAGGTGATCACAAGCAAATCCAGAACAACATCTGAAGTTCTGCAGGCCTTACTCGCCTCGTTTAGTTCAAGTTCGAGTCAATTTTACTGTCATTTCCATCACATGTGGTGGAACGAAATTATGTACACGGGGTCCCAGTTACGCCCAAAAATAGCAAAATATAAAGTATAAAAGAAACAGTAAATAATGATCTAAGATGTACACTAAACAATAATAATGTAAAACAGTACGGGGTAACAACAGCAGCCCAAACATGAGTCTGTGGTGAGCAGATGGGTATGAATGAGATCAGCAGCATGGATAAGTCACATATCACCAATTAAAGTGACATTTCAATGATTATCCTGGTTAGAGATTCATGAGTCTAACAGCTTCCGGGTAGAAGCTGTTCCTCAGTCTAGTGGTTCTACACTTAATGCTCTGCAACGTCCTGCCTGAGGGGAGCGGGGGAGGGGTTTAAGGTCCGTGCTCATAATTCAAGCAAAAAGCCAGGACAAAAACTGGTCTCCATGGGAGAGTTACAAGGCTCAAACCACTGCTGATAAAAATAAAACAAAAAGGTCAAACGTCTTGACGATCCCCAAGATTTTTGAGAAGATATTCTGTGGCCTGACGAGACAAACGTGGAACTTTCTAGAAGGTGCGTGTCCCTTTGCACCTAGCATAAAGCTAACCCTGCATTTCAGGATAACAGCTGTGCACCAGCAGTCAAGCACGGCGGTGGTAGTGTGATAGTCTGGGGATGATTCGCTGCTTTAGGACCTGAGCAGCTTGAAGTAACCATGAATCCTGCTGTTTAGTAAAAAGTCCTGAAGGGGAACATCCAGTCGTCAGTTTGTAGCCTTCGATTTAAGCGCAGTTGGGTTCTGCAGCACGACGACGGTCTGAAGCACTTATGCCACATTTACTTTTCCACATAGGCCTAGGTTGGTTTGGAAAGCTTTTATTCCCTTAATAAATGAAATCATCATTTAGAAAATTCATTTTGCCTTCACTCAGGTCACCTTTGTCTGATATTAACATCTGTTAGATAATGTTAAACACATATTAGTGACAACAACAAAAAAAGCTAACAAACTTTTCACAGCACTGTAATTTGTTAGCCTTCCTTTTGCATTGATCATGGTGCACAATCACCTAGACATTTTTCATCTAATACTGACATAAAATTCAATTCAATTCAAAAATACTTGATTAATCCCAAAGGGAAATTAAATGTTGTTGTAGCTCATCATCTTGGTTTCATTAGAGTTGTTATAGATGCTGATGGTTTTAGGCAGGAAGGATCTCTTGTAGCAGTCCATTCTACAGCAGATCCGAAGAAACTGGCTGCAGATCCCGATCCATCCACCCAGACCCTGCAGGCCTCTTGTCCTCTTGGGCAGCAGGACTGCCTGAATGCCGGCAGAACTCCTCCCCGAGCGATGGCCATTTCTTGCAGCAGCCTGCCGAGCCCCTCGTTTCAACTGACTTAATTGCAGGTGCCAGGGGATGATCTCGGTCCTCCCGCTGTTTTAAGCTGTGGTCAGGCAATCGAGCACAGCCTCCAGGTAGACGGTAATGCATCCACGGCTCCTCCTTTTCAACTCATTTGGGATTTGGTGCTGTAGTTGAGATCTTATTTGGGCTTCTGAGATGTTAATCAGCTGCTCCCAGTTGTAGAAAACCGCCGTGTTGTTATGGTTACGCATCATAACAAATATCCAAATGTGAAAAAGGTTTCAGTAAAAATCCTTCCAGCAGCACAGCATCTGATACCAGAGGAAGTAATCGTCCAAAAAAAAGTGATTTACATCCAGAAAAATTTGTAATTAACGTTTTCCAAAGCAAAATCTCAGAATGAATGTAAGAGAGCTACTCCAACATGCAGCCACCTTGAGCGGCGCAATTCTGAAATTACTGTTCATGAAGATTTTTTTTTTTTGTCTTTTTATGATGAGAGTCAGATTGTTGTGGAAATCTTTCTTCAGCTCATCTCTGTTGGATTATCAGCTAAAATCTGGTGGCCATAAAGGAATAGAACGCTTCTCGTAGCATCAGTTAGGGGTTTAATTTAGTAACTCCTTTAGCCAAAAATGTCTTAATCACTGGAGCAGGCTTCCTCTGGGAGTGTCTTATAACTTTCTTGGTTAAGTCCAGGTGGAGACTCTTTTACACAGGTGGTGAATTACTCTCGCAGAAGAGGGACTATTTATTATTCCCTTCTAATTTTAGAAATTCTGAGTTACAGCGAGATTCATGACCTTAATCTTCGATGTTACAGATCGTTTCAACTGCTTCATAAAAAGTAAAAGACACTCAGAGCAGCAGAGAAGTCAAAGTCTTACCATTTGTAACCACATATTTGAAGTTAACACTTGGTTCTTCTCATCCTGCAACATATTCAGAAAGAATGGTGCCCTAATTAATTAATTGCATAATTTAAGTATTACCAGTTGTGTCACACAGTTTTAGGCATAAAGGGGTCTTTTTTATGCACTGATTTATGACTTTGCATCTGAGAATAGAGATGGTTGTTTGTGCCTACCACGTCCATGATCTGTATCAAACTGAGGGAAAAGACGACCGTAAGGGGGTGAGAGTCGTTGCCCACGGGTCGCTCCATCCGGTTGTAGTCTTTCAGCAGGTTCTTCAGCAGGTTCCTCTGATGAGGCCCCTGTAACGACACTAAAGAAGCAGGAAATTGCAGCAGAAATCTGATAACTGATCACGCTCTTTAAAGTCCGTGTCAGCCGGGAGTCAAATGAAGATGTGCTTTTAAACGTGAGGCTGTATATAAGATCAAATTAAGAGATTTAATCTTTATAAACTGACGTGTTTCATCTTTAGGAGAACGTCTTTAAATGGAAGTGTCAGTGAAAAGGCTGTGAAACAGGAAATGTAATGATGATGTCACCATTACTTTTATGGTTTGAACTTTCCAAATGAGACATGGAGGAAAGGTTTGGCTCTCGAATCCAAATTAAATATTTATCATTAATGCAGATTAATACAAAACAAAAAAGAAACCAGCAAACGAAAGGATGATTCACAGAGAACCTGGAGAACAGTTGGTAAACCAATTAGAAATACCAGGAAGTCTTATCAGGACATAATTGGCACAAATTATTGAATAATTACGTTAGTTTGGAAGGACCAGAGACCCAATGTAAAAACTGTTTCAGTTCTGAGCCTTCTGTCCCGTTAATACATCCTTAATGACAATGATGAGATTTTAGTTTTCTTTCTCATTTTGTTCATAACGTAAAGGTTTTAAAACTAAGTGTGCATAAAGTTATGAAGAGCTGCATGTGGGAGAACTAACAGCGGCTTTCAGCTTGAACGTATCGCTTGTAAAGTAACAAGCTGTAAAGAAAGTGAACGTTGTTGCACACAAAAAGCCAAGAGGTTCTGTTCAGACGAGTGAGAAGAGAAAGGGTTTTCAGCCTTGATTAAAATGATCGAGATTCTGAGCAGCTGTTATGTGAAAAGGCAAATTATTCCACAGTTTAGAGGCTGACACACACAAAAAAATAGCCTGGAGAACATCAAAGAACAACTGGTTTGTAGATTTTAGTATGCTGGCTGCAGTCTGAAGCTGTAAAAGAAAGATGGTGTCATGCAGTTAGGACCCTTAAAGCCAAATGTTCCATCCATCCATCCATCCATCCATTATCTTTACCCGCTTCTTCCTTTTCGCATCACTGGTACCCAGATCCAGCCGTCACTGTGAGAAAACCATGCAAACTCCACCCAGAAAGGTCCCTGGGAGATTCAGTCTGGCAACCTTCTTGCTGAGAGGTGGCAGCTCTACTAAATGAGCCACCGTGCCGCCCTAAAAGCAAATATTTCAAATTTGAAACAAAGCCAAAGACAGTTCAGGTTTAACGTGACCTTTCTTTCCTGTCAGGAGACAGGCTGCTCTCCACAGCCTAAACGTGACCACTGACAGGGAGCAGCAGAGAAGTAAGAATTGAAACGATCAAAATAAAAGGAATAAAGCATGAGAAGGATCTTAACGAGGAGCTTTAATTAAAAAAGCTTTTCCAGTTTCGAGTTTTGGATACAGTTGCACTAAAGCTGGCAAACAGAGGCACTGCTGTAACCCTTTAATGGGTTGGATTATTCAAATAAATTAATTTCTGTTTGTTTAGTCTGCAGGTCAAGGAAGTTTTCTCCATCTGTGATTATGTATTTCTAAGGTCGAACTGTGCAGCAAAGAGAAATAGCTGAAAACGTGACAGAGAAGCAGGAGCTACTTTCAAAGCATGTCAGGATGATGGAAGAGCCCCGGATGGGTTTTTTTTTGGCTTCAGAAGTCAGTCTGCAGCTACGCAGTCAAAAACTTTTCCCTTCCTCGTGTCTTTTATGTTGTTCCCCACCCCCTTTTTTAAAAAAAATCTTCATCCTTCCTTCAAATACAAACCGAACAACTGTCGGCACTTGAGCCTGTAGGGAAAGTTCACCCACTCTCCTCTCAGCTCTGCCATCCAGCTCGGAGCATCATCAGCCCGGCTGCAGCAACAGGGAGGCAAGATGGAAGAGCTGATCTGTACGGTGTCATTAAACTGATTTTTTCTGCTTTTCTGCAGGGGGTTCCCTTCGTGTGCACACAAAACCGCAAATGATGAAATGACGAAACGTTCCGACAGCTCAGATTTTCCTGCACCTGTCATCAGATGCTCTGCACAGACAGGGGTGTCAATGTGCCATGCCAGACATGTCTGAGCCCCGAACACATGTTTCCAGACTAATCGCTCCAAAAGGAATCCATAGATGCAAACAGGTGAGCTAGAACCTCACTCTACTTCTCCTGGAGTCTTTTCTCCACTTGAAATTCACAGACGAAGCGTCAAAAAAACACAGACTCCTGCGCCCGAGTTCCTATAAAACACCAGCGCTGCAGCCCAGTTCCTGAATGAAAGAGAGACAGAGATGCAGGCAGGCTCACCGTTGATCAAAGCGGAGAACCCAGAGAGGAGCAGAGCCACAGAGCGCCACATCCTGGCATTGAACCACTGGAGGAAAAGAGGAGGCAGGAGAGGAGAAGCTCCAGATGTTAGAGGAAGAAAATAAAAAAAGGAGGGGGTAGAGAGAGGAAAAGGGAGCAGAGAGTCGGGGAGCTGCTGGAAAATCTTCGCTCTGCTTCCAGTCAGCATCAGATGGAAGGAGTATCAGCGAGCGAGGAGGAGGAGGAGGAGGAGGAGATGTGGGCTCTGTCTGTCTCCCTGGGAGGTGGGCCTAAAATGAGAAGAAAAAAAAAGAAAAATGTCAGAAATGAGTGTGATGGGGTGAAGATAAAGGAGTGAGGGCAGAGAGGTTTAAATGACACCATCATGAAGTGACCTCGCCGAAGACAAACAAAACAAATGAGAATTTAAATTTAAAAGTTTAGCTGGAAGAGGAGCCATGCAGAGGGGTATACATTTATCACAGGGAGCCACAAGCAGTCTGACAAAAAAAAAAAAAACTCAACATCACGGCCTGTTTTCTTGTCATCCCTTACATTGTTAGAACTAATCCTAAATCCTTATTAATTTCAAACATAAACATGTGCCACAGATCCATGGTCAGGTTGTTTTGCCTCTGATAAACAGTGGTGATGGTCACACACTGCTGGGCTGGTGAAAGCTGTGTGTGTATGTGTGTGTGTTGAGCCTCCGCCCACGTGGTGGTGGGGAGCTTTGAATCAGCCGAGCAGACGGACTCCAGTTTAATTGAGAAAGTGCTGGGCTCTGCAGGAGGACAACGGAAATGTGCATAGTTAAACTCTACTCCTCATTTGTCCTCGTGAAATGCTGATGCAAGGGCAGAGGCAGTGAGAAGCTGAAAGACTAAGAATGAAGAGGAGGAGGAGGAGGGGGTAAGAAAAAGAGGAAGCAAGACTTGTACTGTATAATAGATTGCCCTATTACATCTACTGCCCTTTGAAATTACCCCTTTCCCTCTCTCTGGAAGCCTGTCACACACCCAGAGCACTCCGGAGGTGCAGGTTCATGCCCGGCTGCACACGCAGGATGGAGAGTGGCCCTGGGAGGGGAGAAGAAGGATGACCCAGTCACAAGTTAAAGCAGGAGAGAGGAAAAAACTGCACAAAATGCTTCAACAAACAAAAGGCAGGAGCATCCGGGTACTGCTTCATTCTTGTTTTGTTGCTTCTCAAAAGCAAAGCCTGCTCTGGTTTTTTGTGTTCTTGTGTGCAGAGCAACCAGTGTGACAGAGCCAAAAAACAAAAAAACAACTAAATTCATTAGGCTTCATAAAACTCCAGATTGGAGGCACTGAGGCGTTGGTGACATCTGGTGGTTTGTTTTTCCACGTGCACGCTGGCTGCTGGCAGGAGTGTGTGCAGGGAGTAGTGACATGGTGGTCTTAATTAACAAGAGAGAAAGTGAGCTAAATGGTGCAGGACGAAGATGAGATGCCAATTATGAAGCAAGACCAGCGTAAGAAATGAGCTCTGAGGGATTGAGTCAAATTTAAATTAATGGCGATTGTTGAAGGAGTGAAACTTTTAAGTGCCTTTCTCAGAAATTTGGCTGGATTGTGAGGGATGACCATCTGTAAATGTCCCCTCTGTGCTAAATGCTGAACACGCCTGACAGCGCTGCCATGCCGGCTGCTGTGCTGTGGGTTTTTAATTACTCTGCTGATTGGATTAGAACCTCATGGCATGTCCCTCCACCTAATAAGGATGTTACTTACAAAACTAGAACTTTCCTGTTATTTCTGATTTTGTCAGGGTGGCCTTTTTGTTGTTTCCAGAGTGGAGCTAAGTAGATGGAGTTGTCCTCTGATGGATTGCAGTTATACTGTTGCAGTAGGTCCACAAAGTGGACTGTAATCCAATAAGATGTGAGGAATCAAAGAAGAGCTGACTCAGCAAAGTATTACAATGTAAAATGACAAAGATCCACCTCCTTCTAAAAGTCAACCTGAGGTCTTCATCTGTTACTCCTGAGTGATCGACGTTGGGTTTCAGCCTGGATAAAAGCTGCATGCTCACTTTGAATTTAATGCTAAACACTGGTTCAATGGGACACAAGTCTGGACTTCAGATCAGTTTCACTCACATTTCTTCTGTAAACCCACACGGCCGTACTGTCTGCAGAATCCAAGATTCAAGATCAGCATTTAAATGAAATAAATATTATTCTGCTGGATGCATTACGGTAAAATTCAAGCATAAGTGCCAACTATGCCATTTGTTTATTTTATCCAAGTCAGAAAATATACAGTAAATTAAACTTTTGCAAGTTTAATGGTCTCAGACTGAGGAAAGAAACTACTGAGCAAAATGTGACAGTTTGGCAGTGGATGATTCTGCATCATCTGCCAGACGGCAGCAGGACGGGAATATGCCGGCGGGGAGGTTTTTGTGTTAGTCTAATTTAAAGTCGGTGCGCACACCTCGTCCCACTGATGGTAATGATTTTAATCACCAGCTGTAGAGCCATTCTGTGTCCAATGTGGGAGTCCCAAGCCAGTTTGAGACATTGCCATTATATA